CCCCCCCCCCCCCCCCCCCCTGCAGTCATATTTTAGTGGAGGTTGGACCCTAGACCTTCAAACGCTGCAGCCCTAAACCCAGAGCTCTAAAGCCCAAGCCCCACTGCTTCACACCTGCAAACTGAAGCACCGAAGACTGAGCCCGACACCCCACGCAGCCGAAGCACTGTATGCTCCGGGTAGCTTCATACTTTCACGTTGGACAGGTTTGGGGGTTGGTTTCTGGTCTTCAACGAAACCCTATGTAGATCTCATCGTACCCATGGCCCGGTAACCTGCCGTATATAAACAAATACATACACAGTAAATCAGAAAATAAATAAATGAAAAGATAAACACAATGGTTGTATATATATATGTGTGTGTGTGTATACATACATTGACATACATACGCGCACACACACACAACGTCGCTCTTGGTGATTGCGGAGGTGCGACCTATCGAGGACTCTCAGCGCCGCAGCTAGCCGACTTCATGCTGACCCGGTCGGATGGGGGGGGGGAGAGGGGAGGGGGAGTTTTTTGGTAAACTGGGTGTGGAGACAGAGAGTAGGGTTAGGTTCCCTTTTGAGTTTGGGGCTTAGGTGTGTGAGCGGGGTGTTGCAAGATGATTGCCGGAAGGCTTGCGTTTGTTTGATTATTAATTATGATGGTGTATGGAGCAGTATGGGGCCATCGTGGCTACTGGAAAGGTTTCAGGCTCAGTTTGTCTGTCTAGGAGCGCACCCTACACACCAAACCCTACCTAAACCCTAAACCCTTAGCTCTTCTTCAAGCTGAGAGAGAGCGAGCGGAGGGTTCCAAGAGGGGATTCGGGGGTTTAGAGCTTTGGGTTTAGGGTTTAGGGCTTTAGGGGTTTAGGGGTTTAGGGCTTCAGGGGTTTTGAGTTTAGGGTTTAGGGTAGGGTGCTAAAGGTTGCAATGCTTCAGACTGAGGGCGCGTCAGGATACACCCCAGACGCCGTATAAACCGAAAAGCTTTACGTCATCAGATCCCTAAGACCCCATGCGGTGCCTTCCCTAGCTTATGGCTGCAGATCCTAGTCCTAGCCTGGTACCCCGCAAAACGTTGCAGCCTGAACCTTCAGGAGGGCTTAGGATTACGGTTTTGGGGTTTTGGCGACGATTTAGGGATTTGGGTTTAGGGTTTAATCAGAGAGCTGTACAGGGCAAGGGTTTTAGGGTTACGTGCACATGGCTTTATAGGTTGAACCCGAAGCCACATATCTCAAGCGCCCCTGCTAAACGGCTAGTGCGGTTGATCAGGCGTCTGTTCCTATCGACCCTGTCGCAGTTCACCATGCCACGGCTGGTGGACAAGTGCTCCTTGGGCCAACAGAAGGTATCGAGTAAAACGAGACAGAGAGGACGAGCAATTACAGAATCACACATGGCAAAACATACATATACATATGTGCACTTAAGCACACACACACACACGCAGAGGCAAGATGCCCTGAATTGTGTTGCTGACACAAAGAGTTTGTTATAAGACTCAAGGATTCAAGGAGTGCACTTGGGAAGCCCGGAGCAATTTGGGAGCTTTTGAGCTGTAGGGTCTGATTTGTCTTTGGTTCGATTTAGCATTGATTTGGTCGGCCATGTGCACGCTGAGAGTAAGCCAAGGATCGACCCAACATCCTAAAATCCCCCAAAACCTTAACCTAAACCCTAAACGCTTCAAGCCCTACACTGTTCTCCTACAACCCCGAAAACCTCTCAACCTAAACCCCGAGCCTGAAATCCTATCTGTCAGCCTCGCTAGTGGGCATAGAACCTCAGCCATGCGAGAGGGAAAAAAAACCGAGGCCTAAGCCCACAACCCTAAACCCCAAACCCTAAACCCTAAGTGGGCTGTCATGTCCTGTATCACTCCGACTTCGCACCATTAACCTCGCCTGGCTTGTCCGAGTTGTGAGAGAGTAAACCCTAAACCCTAAACCGCCCTAAGCCCACAACCCTTGGCTGAGGCAGCCCGGTGGTGCAGACATCTCAGCCCTCACCGGTGGCTGTTCTGCTGGCCGCGGGCTTACCTTAGGATTAAGAGGGCTCACCCACAGGCCCCTAAGTAGGTCCTTTTGGGGATGACCTTATAGGATTCGAAATATAAACCATAAAAAGGAACTACTTCGGGGCCTATGGGTATAGGGCTTAGGGTTCAGAGTCTGGTGTTGAGGGACCCTGGACTCTGGCTGCTGGCTCCGAAAGACCTGCTTTTCGGATGCGGAGATTGCCAACCAAGGTAGTACTTGGTGCTGCAGTTCAGGGTTTGGGCATACAAGAGGTATGCTCAGAATATACATTTTCAGAAATATGGCAGCCACAAGGACAGCACGACCTAATGGCTCAAAGGACTCACTCGTAGTTATCTTTGTAGTTGCCCTACCTACAACCCTGCTTACTACGTCCCGTGGTCAGCTACGTCCCACCAGCAACCCGACAGTCGGATCGTTGTGGGGTTCCCGGAGAAGACTGTGGGTTATGCAAGAAATATTTTCAGGAAAAAAATGCACTTGGGTCACGCACGAACGAGAAATGGACTCCGGAACATCAAAACTATGCGAGCCATCCCTGAACCTTCCCCACAACAATTCTCTATTGATTCCTCGCCTTCTCCCAGAGAGCCCCATTGCCCGTAATGAAGCAATATGCCGTAATGATTTCACGGATCTCCCGAGCATGTGTGTGTGTGTGTCGAAAGGAACCTTATGTAAGATGCAGTTTGGGTTGAGGGTTTAGGGCAGGGTCTAGCGTCCAGGCTATGTCCTAGACACCACCCTGACACATGGCTCGGCATCGCCACCATAACCACCCTTCCAACCATGTAGAAGCCTCCATAGCCAGTGCTCGTTGCATCGCAGACCAAAAAGCGTTTGCATCCTGAACCCCTTCACCCGAAACCTAGCCAGACCCCTGCTTCGGGCTTCCGACACCTCGCCGTAAACTGCCTGAGACTCTACGTACGAAGGCCCTAGTTCCCCGAAGCCCAAGCCCTCATTCCAGCCTAAAAAACCTGAGGCCTTGAAGCCACAAGCCTTCAAGACGCCACGATGCCTTACTACAACGCATCTGGTGATGGAACCCCTCTAAATAAACATATGCAACCAAAAGCCTTACGTCCTAGACGCTGTACTGACTGGAAGAGCGTATGACACCTTAAATTCAATCCTAGACCTCGACGCCCGAACCCTTAACCTGCCAGTTGAGACGTAAGATTCCTAGAAAGGTTCCTCCGATATGCTCCCCAAACCCTGATGAACCTTGAACCCCTGAAGCCCCAAACTCCTAAACCCTAAGTATCCCTTAATCTCTAAACATAACCCCAAACCCTAAACCCCACCCCTCAGCCCCAAACCCTGAACCCCGCCCCTCAACCCTAAACCCCAAACCCTGAACCCCACCGCTAAACCCTAAACCCGACACTTGTAATTTATCACCTACCTAGACCCTCCATATACCCCCTGTTAGACCCTAAATACCCCTTATTTGGGATCATATACCCCTATTCGAAGGCACAAGGAGGGTCCTGGTAAACACCCTAAGCCCTGAACCCCTAAGCCCCTAAACTGCTAAGCCTTAAGCCCTAAACCCTAAACCCTAAACCCTTGCCTAAGCACTTCGAGGTTGACGGCTCCGTGATCTTCGCTATCCTCCGAAGCGGGGAGGTTCGCTGCCACCGCTGCAGCACAGGCCTGGTTGCGTGTTGGGTTTTGGTGTTTTGGGGTTTAGGATTCAGGGTTTGTTCTTTTGAAAATTTTAGGATTTTATTGTAGGGTCAAGGATTGCGGGTTTAGGGGTTTGTTGTTTAGGGTTAGGATTCAGGGTTGTTGTTTTTTGGGGGGGTTTAGTGGTTAATCAAATAATAGGATCAAGGATTGCGGGTTTAGCTTCATTCCCTCAAAGGGAGCTTTATTCCCTGAACCATCGTACTTATAGTCTACAAGGCAGTTCCAGCAAAAATGTCCAAAAAAATGATCCACAGGTTCCAAAATAGCGACTTATTGCAAATTGGCTTTCTAGCGAAGGAAGTGTTTAGGTGAAGCTTCTCAGTTAGCAGTTGCGGCTTTCCCTAAACCCTAAACCCCAACCCCTAACCCCGCAGCAAGAGAGACAGAGAGAGAGAGAGAGAGACAGACAAAATCAGTGCCATTTTATGTACCCAGTTTCTCTGTGTCAAGTATTTGGGAGAGGCCCTCGTCGACCCTGACTGGAGTGGGAAGGTTTGGGCCAAGGGCCGCCAGGTGCTGTATCATGTGGACTACGCCACGAGGCCTCTTACATAACACCTGGATGCTTGCGGACACTCGCGGTAGCGCGACGGCTGGTTTTTCAAGGTCAGCTTGCGGCCCTGCTGGGGGCTGCAAGTGGGGTCAGGTCCCGGCGTTTTCCGATGCAGAGTAGGGAGCAGGAGGGGGGACGACACAAGTGAAACGCACTGATTCTGGGCCGAGAGAAGACGCTGACACGTTTGTCCACAACTCGTTTCAAAGAGAAGGGCAAGAACGATTATCTCAGGTTTTGGAAGAAAGACAAGGGGAATGGATATCACCACCGGTGCTAAACCCATACCCCGAATCCTACGAGTTTGTTGCGACTGTGACCGCCTGAACTATATGTCTTCCTAAGGCAAGACCTTCAACATAGTAGGCAGCTGGAGCCCCAGGTTCACCCGAAACCCTAAGCCCAATTGTAAGCCGTAAACCCTGTAGAACCGAAACCCTGAAGAACAAAGCAACCCCTGCTCCCGAAACGCTAAACCGCCCTTTAAGACACCTGAGCCCTAAACCTGCCCCAAACCCTAAACCTAAATCCGAAACGGCAGAAGAGCAGCTAAACACTAAACACCTTAAACCCTGAGCCCCAAACCCTATAAACCTCCCCAAACCCTAAATTGCCTTAAACCCCTATAACCTTAAACGGCCCTAAACCCTAAACCCTGAGCCCCAAGCAGCGGGGAGGTCAACTCTTGGCCTCCTGCCCAGGAAGGCTCGGCAAAGGCCCCTCAGGGCGGATCCCTTCAGTTCTACTACAAGGGTCGCATATAGGGGGCCTTGATAGTCGAATAGGGTTAAGGGCTTAGGGTACACTATAGTATGATTATATAGGGACTGTACGTGACATATTGCATTGAATACTAGGCTTTTCCGGGCTGCTTATCGTCATGAAAGCCCCGCTTCATATCAGGGCCGCGCTGAGTTTGGTCGAGATTCCTACAGAAGTCGAAGGTTCAAGGCTTAAAACGAGGATTTAGGGTTTAAGGTTTAGGGTTTTGGCTGCGCTTGACGGCACAAGAGAGAGAGAGAGAGAGAGAGAGAGAGAGAGAGAGCGAGGTTGCAGGTTTCAGGGTTTGAGGTTTAGACTTACGGTTTAGGGTTTATGGGTTTTTTTGTTTCCAGGGCTGCATGGACCCTGTGTCAGGGCTTTTGTCTGGAAGCTTTCGCGGGGCTTACAGAAGGCTTGCGCGTTTTTCGTGGTTCGGTTCGAAGTTGGCGAAGAAATGTGGCGGCAGGTCTATACCCATAGGCCCCTAAGTAGTTCCTTTTTGGATTACCTTATGGGATTCTAAATATAAACCATGAAAAGGAACTACTTAGGGGCCCATGGGTAGGCTATAGGTCTTACTTTGTCCGCCAGCTAGGGCTTGAATTGTGTGCTTGGAGAGTTCCTCCAATCTGTGGGCTTCCCCAACCTTCTAAAACTTGGCTTTTAGAAAGGCTCCTCTAAACAAGCTTTGGGGTTCAGGTTAGATGCAGCGAAGGACCTTCAAACTGTGGGTCTTCACATTTAAAAGCCATCTACAAATGATCATGCATGCTATTCGTTTATCAAGAAATGTTGCATTTTGTAGAAACCTGCCTATAATCTAATCTAACCTAATCTCAGGGATATCTATTAATTCAAACAGCTACTGCGCCCTTTGGGTGCCTTCTCTGGCAGGTCGCTTTGCCGCAGCGGCGGCTTTGTTGGGGTCGGAGGCTGCAACCCGTAGGGCACCGCCGGGTTTAGGATCTATAGGGTCTGAGGCTTTTGGGGCTTCAAACGTGTTTTTGGGCGTTGTGGCTGCTGAGGCGATCGCAACCTGCAGTAGAGCCGGGGTATAGTGATGTTTGCCGCGGCAACACCCTGTTGTGCCTATGCAAGCTTACCACAAAGTGAATCTGTCCGCTTTATTTTCCGTCAGGTTTCAGCAACTAGGTACAGGCTTACCCCGAGCTTGGACACTGGTGGGACGTGGGTCCAGTCTTTTGGTGCAGCAACAGTAGCATTTTTGTATCACGATTGCCCGTGGTGCCTGAAACCCTAAACCCTATATCAGTGGCTGGTGTCCTTACCCACGTTTCTGCACCCATGGCGGCACGTTTGGTTCTGGGAGCTCTCCCGGAACGAATTTTGTTGGTTGCCATAGTCTCCTGCCTCTCTGGGCACGATGGTGAGACCGGGGCACCTGGGGCTGCTTTGCAAATGGCGGTTGGCTGCGTTCTCATATATGTACTCGAAGTTTGAAACGTTGAAAAGGCCTCCATGTGCCCTTCATGCTTTGCCTAGCCAGCCCTCTACCCTCCTTGCAGTATAGTCCTTGGTGTCCTGAGGGGTTTATATAATGATACAAACTTCATAAACTGCAGCGGGCACTTTTGGGGCTGTCTGGGCTGACCGCTTGAACCTAATAGAGAAACATGAGACTGTTCGTAGGAGAGCCTGATGTAGACTCGTAGACCTGCAACAAGAGGGTCAGACTGGAATCACTGACGCGGAATCACTGACAGAAACGACAAGAACAAAAACAAGGAAGGACACTAGCAGCGGCGGCAGCGGCAGCAACAGCGACTGCTACAGCGTCTGCAACAGCGACAGCAACAGCAGCAGCCACAATAATAAGAATAATTATGCTACATGTTTGTTTACATATACATACATACATATATATATATGTATATGTATATGTATATGTATATATATATATAGGTGTATGTATATGTATATATGCAGCTACAATGCAAATCAGCTTGTACATTGCATACCAACATGCATGTTTAAGGTAGCTGGTTTTAAGAAACCTGTCACCAATTATAGCACAACATTATCTAGCACAATGTCACAAACTGTAATATGCATGTGTATTTATGTATATACACACATACATACATATATATATATATGTAACATGATGTATTTTTTTACATATTTGGCCTTATATCACATCAGACGATGTGGTATTCCATGACACGATGCATTCATACCTGCCACGACCAAGCCCACACACTTCTCACTATTAAATGCTAAACTGCAGGCAACTTGATCTATTGCCGTAGAGTCGGCTTCAAAGAACATGACATTCCAAAACATGTTGTGATATGTATGAATGCATGTACATGTAAAATGATGTAGTATAAAATGATATGTAACATCATCCTGTGTATGTATGTACGTGTGTATGTAGTGTATGCATGCATGTATGTATGTATGTATATGTATGCATGGGTTTATGCTAGAGACATGCGTATGTGTATGGCTGCCTGCCTGCCCGCCCGCCCACGTGCCTGCCCGTCTTTGCATGCATACATGCCTTCATGCATGCATGCATGTGTACATGTGCATGTATATCTATATATAGATATATGTGTGTATATATATAGAGAGAGAGCGAGAGAGTTTTTGTTTTAGTTCTTATTTGTATTTGTTTATGCTCTGGCGATCATTGAAGCTCCCAGCCGAGCCCGCAGGCGTTCATCTTGGGCGACGACACTTGCATTGCATGGTCATATGTTGGGTTACGGGCCAGGGTCGAATATTTCTCGTTCCAGGCTTCCCTGTAGTCGGTTTAGGGCCTGGGGTTGGTTTCCCACGTCAGGTCGTTACCAAGCTTCTGTCTTGCTGTCTCCCACCCTTGCTCCCCCAACTTAACAGACACTCCTGAAACCCTAAACCCTAAATCCTGAGCCCGCCGCGTTGGTCTGATTCTGCGGCAGGAAAGAATGCGAAGATTTAGAGTAGCAGTCCGGCGGTGTCGACGTTGTCCTGTAGCGGGCTCTTCCTGATTCCTGAATTAATGGTGTCTTTGAGGGATCCTAGGAGGTTTCTTTAGGGATCTATGTGAGGGTTCAACGTCACGAGGTTGTAGGGCCGTGGGCTTTCAGCAAGTCCTACTTCGCATCTTCATTGTCTGTGCTTTCCTAAAGCTGGGCCAGAAAGCTTAAACACTGAAAGCATGGATCCAGGAGTTCCTAATCGGCAAACCTTATATTAGATCCTGAAAACCTTGAATCGCTACACCCTAGGCCCTACCCATTCATTGTTCTACCCTAAACCCTCAACCCTAAACCCTAGAAGCCCTAAACCCTCAACCTAAACCCTGAGAGCCCTAATGGCCCTAAGCCCCAAGCGCTAACCCCTAAACCCCCAACCCTAAACCCTCGAAGCCCTAAACTTTCAACCCTAGACCCTAGGATGCCGGTGGATTGCTGTGGCTCCGGCGAGATGACCTTAGTGCCACTCGGAGTCGTTTGGGCGCCAACGGCTTGGGGCCTCCAGGGCCGTGGTTCGCTCCTTTTTCCGGGTTTCAAGGCAAAGGATGTGTCAGCTCACTGTGGAAATCCCAACACCCCTCAGAATGCTGAAACCCTAACGAAGCCTACACCCTAGACCTATGTTCGATCTTGTGAGCGATCTGAGGAGATGCAAAGCCTTCGCGTTAGCCACAGCTCTGCAGTCGCCTCCCTGGCGCCCCTGAAGAATCCGGAGGTGCTTCGTCTTTCTGGTTTAGGGGTTAGGACTGCTTCTTCAGGATTTTCGGGGTTCTGGAATAGGGGTAAGGATAGCTTCTTCGGGATTTTAGGGGTTTAGGGTTCTGGAGGAGGGGTTCGGGTCGCTTCTTGCGGGTTTAGGGTGTCGAAAGTCTGAAGTTCGCACCGAAGAGGTCCTCATGGCGATCCTGTTGTCTCTCGTGTATTCCTGAATTAGGGTCTAAAGCTCTAAACCCTAAACCCCTAAACCCTAAAAGCCTAAAACCCCTAAGACCCTAAACCCTAAAACCCTGAACCCTAAGCCCCTGTTTAGGGTTTCGTGACTGCCACCGTTTTCTGAAGCACCCGGGCCAATCAGCGCGTAAGAGCTAACCTAACCCTACAGGTTTTCCAAACATGTTGATACTGTAGTGCCCGGTTCTTGAAAAAAAGGTAAGGACCTGGTAAGATCACTCCGGCTTTCCTACCTGGACCCTAAACCCCTAAACCCACTCGCTTCATACTTAAAGTAGCCTTTTTCTCGAACAAATCTGAGCAAGTGAAGACTACCTGACTAATGCTCCATATTATCCCCAACCGATCAACAGGACAGACTAACTTCTGTTTGTTGCTGCTGTTGGTGTTAAGGTTTTCAGGAGACAAGACCTCTCCACTTGAAGGAAAGCGTCGGCATCATGGCCACCACTCATATGGACGAATTCCTTCAGGCACCCTGCCTGCCATGACGTTTGTGGGGACTGGCGGAAAGCCTCGGGACCCAGCCGAAATCCTCTTCGGAGGCAGAGACCTCAGCAGGCCGCTCCGTGTGCGAGCCGAAACTTAAACTGCCCTAAACCCCAAACCCCTAAACCCTAAACTTCTCTAAACTGCCCTAAACCCCTAAACGCCTATAACCTTAAATGGCCCGAGACCCCTAAACCCCTAAACACTAGACCGTAGACCTTAAACCCTAAATTGCCCTAAACCCCTACTCCCTAAACTGACTTAAACCCCTAAACCCCTAACCCCCCACCCCAAAAAATAGCTCCAAACCCTACTAGCATCGATCCAGTAGGCAGGAGGAAGGCCCCATCTTGTCTTGGTGGCCCGTTACACTACAGTCTTTCCCTAAGGTTTAGGGGTGTTTGGGGTTCGGGGTGTAAGGTTTTAGGGTTTAGGGGTTGGGGTTAAGGCTCTAAGGACTCATGTTTGAAGGCTTTTGGGCCCAAGTACCCTGCTGTAGAAGGCCGCTGGGCTCTTTTGAGCCTTGGGGTTTGTCTTGCTCAGCTTGCCCTTTCCTACTATGTGCCCAAAAACCAAAGCCCTAGAAACCGAGGAGGATCCTCAAAGCGACCGTGAAAGAACTATAAAAGGGCCACCCTGAGCCATAACACCTGAAACCCAGGGTTTAGGGTTTAGGGTTCATGAAACCCTAAACCCACGGTTTAGGGTTTAGGGTTTATGAAACCCTAAACCCTGAAATACTAAGCGGTGGCCTGGCATCACCCATGGCAGGACTGCTTGTGCCTCTCCGCCGACGGCGCCGTCGAGCTGATCCATGCATCGGTGCTCAACAGAAAGGGGTTTATGGGGTGTCACAAGGGGTTTCATAGTTTTGGTTGCTACTATGCGGTGTAAGGGTCGTACAGAGTTTTCAAAGCGGGTGCAGCGAGCTATAACATCATAACGATACGAGGCACTATAGCTCAGGTGTCGGGTTTCAGACGAAGGCTTCGTAAGATTACGTTGGGCTTGATAGAGTCCTATAAAGATGATTTTCAAGCGTGTTCGGGCTTGGGGTCGCGTTGCGGAGAAACTTAACTTAACCCTTTAAGCCCTAAAGCCGAAAGTCGAAATCGACTTGTAACAGGGACTATGGAGTTTAGGGTTTAGGGTTTGATAGTGAGCACCAGTGTGTCCAGGCCAGACCACGCAAGCCTGCTGCAAAAGGGTTTAGTTTCATGGCACGGAAATCCGGGAGGGTTTAGTGTTTAGGGTTTTGCTCGTTGCTGCGCTGCTTGTCTGTCTCGTTCTCCTCCTTTGGCTGCGACGGCCGACTGCAGCTACTCCTCCTGCTGTGGCTCCTCAAACTATCGATAGTCCTGACTGGCAGGAACCCCACCCAACAGGAGCTGTAATGCTTTAAAACTGCCCAGGTAGTCGAATTGGATGATGCAGATTCTCCTGTACAAGCCAGGAACGCAGTGGGTTTCATACGGCTTCTATAGGGTTTTATGAGGTTTAGAACCCTAAACCTTAAACTCTATCCCTATGGCCGCGTCTTACCTGTGGCTTGTAGTGAGTATAGCCCGCTTAGACTTTAGAATGATGGCAAGTCCCTGGACAAGGGGAGTGCTTCATTTCGTTGGCCTAACTGTCCTATCTCGGTTTTCTAGTGTGGTGCTGATTGGGATTTGGACTTGGAGTCAGCCGAACCCCCAGACTCTGAAATTTAGATGCTGTAAGCATCAGAATGTTCCTTGTCGGGGCTTCGAAGCTCGTGGTGTCCGTCACCGTCTGGGGGTTTCGGGGTCGAGGGATCGGTACGGTCTGGGTTCACAAGAGGAGTTTAGGTTGGATCAGACCACGCAAGCCCAGAACAACTCGAACAAGGACCTCCCAAATCCGATAGCTTTCAAAAGATGGGACGGGAGTGGAAAGTCCAAGACACAAAGCCTAAATTCAAAGCCCTTGTGTGTTCAGGGTTTTTCGGAGTACAGTATCAAGGTGTTATGGCTTCATGCTTTCCGGCTTCCGGGCTTAAGGCTTTAAGGCTACATAGGGCCATAGGTTTTAAGATGGTTTAAGGTTGTAGGCTTTGAGGCTTTGAAGTTCGGAAGGTCACTGTGTTAGCGGTAGACAGAACAAGAGTTTCCCAGCGAACCCGGGAAGATGGTTGCCCAAGCTCGACGTCCATGCCTTGCCTCGCGAAGCAACCTCAAACACAGCTTAGCATCGATTGAATCGCCCTTTGCAGGATCTCCCGTCTGGGTTGCATTGCGGTGGCTCGGCTGTTTAAGCTGACACAGTCTGCTCCACGGGTTTACTGGCGCGTCGGGTTTAGCGTGCAACTGAGGCATGCTGTAGCCGTTAACAGAACCGTGCAAAAGCTTGAATGAATCTCGACCCCCCCAGTCTAGACCCTAACAACAGGCCTCAGCCCTTCCGCTGCCTTAAGCGCATATGTAGCCTGAATTCTGCATTTGCATCCCGAAAGCTCTAAGTCCAACATCTGGACCTTCGAACCCAACACCATACAAGCCCCAGGATAAACTTGATGCCTTGCAACGTAACTGGACCCATGATTTTGGCTCCTTCCTGAAGGTTTGCAATGTCACATTGGGTATCGGCTTCTATATAGCTGACTCTAAAACGATTTCTGAATATTTTGCTTAGTACAAACTCTTGGGAAAGTGGGCTCAGCAGCGAGGAAGTTCACGTAAGGGATGGAGAAGTGGCTACGGGATGCGAAACTTGGGTGCAATTTCTTTGTAGAAAGAGAAGCCAAGCTGGGTTTCAGCTTCTATCCTGCTGGCCTCTGGACATGTTTGGGCCTGGTCTATCGGCACGGAGCTGTGTGTGTCAAAACCTTTTGTTAAGCCGTCAATACCTTAATCCTTCAACTTTTAATGAATCTTACAACCTAGTCCCTACAGTGAGACTGCAGTGCGCGAAAAACACCAAACCCTCCAGTATCTAGGTACGAATGGTGTGTCGTAGACGGTCAGCGGGTTGAGTGGGGACAGGCCTTTACGGTTGTGAGAGGTTTAAGATTTACCCTACAGGTGAGACTTTCTACCAGGACCCTTACCCTTAGTGTAGGGTTTGGGGCATTCACCTGCGGGATGTAGGGCTTCATGCTCGGTCGAAATGAGAGGCGCAGCCCCCGTTGCGCGACGGGGCTTCGAGCAGCCTGTCCATGGAAAGTGCAGGGCCCTTAGCCGAAGATAACAGTTCCTGTGTTCTGCAGGACCCCCTGAAACTACGTTCAAAGAGCTCAGAAAGTAGTTTAGATTTTAGACCTGAATCCTTATAAATCCTAAAATATCCCTAAACCGTACGTTTATGAACCACAAAACCTAAACCCTAGACCCTAAAACCCTCTACGTTCTTGCGACCTTACATTTTGAAGCTCACATGTTTTTGGTGCCAATTGCGAACCAGCGTCGGTCTAGGGACCTTATCTGAGTACGGTCAGTCCCTTTGGGGCGGTTTAGAGAATTTCGGGTTGACGACTATGGAGATGGTCTTTAGGGTTTACGGTTTATGGGGCTTAGAATGTCGGGTTTTGAACTATGGAGATGATGGTTTGGGTGTTAGACTTTCAGGTTGTTGGACTATGGAGCTTTGTATTTAGGTTGTTTGGGAGCTGTATGACCAAAATGCGGGGCTGTTGTCCTGCCGCAAATTTTGTCGCTCTAAGTCTGATACCAAAGTTGCTTCAGTACTCGTTGCCAAGGGGATGACCCCGGCGCTGTGCATCGGTGCAGACGACATGGCTGGACAGAGGGCTTGCTTCTGCTTGATGGTGGTTTGACTACGGTAACTACGGTACATTATATAGTGAATCCATAGAGCTGGAACATGGTTTCAGGTTGATTAGTGCTGCGTTCACCTTTTCCTCGCCTCATGAGGGGAATGAAGTTCCAACTTTTAGGTTTATGCCATGTTGCTGCCTGCCATTGTTTTTTTTTGATATGGGTGCTGGTCACTAAACCACTCTAAACCCCTAAACCCCATAAACCTTTTCAGCCCTAAACCTTTTCGATCTTCCGGCGTTTTGGGGTGTGGGTTCCTCTTGCTGTCTTCGGACTTTGGAGCTTCGAGCCCTAAGACCCCGACCTCAACTTCTCGAGATCCCTCCAGTAACTTTACGTAACAAATCTAAAACAGTAAGACTCTTCCATCGAGGGCTGCTTATCATGATTCGGCTGCTATTCCTTCCAGGGCTTCTCAGTAGAATGGCTTAGCCGGGGCTTTTTTAGAACGACCATTGCATCAATATCCCAGTTTTCAACCTGCAACTGATGAAGGCGTTGACGATGGCGCACAATGGAAAAGCTGCAAGCTAAAATGAAGGAGAGAAGCTTATGATGCCATCGCGGAAAAGCGTGATGTTTGATTAGAAAACCCTGTTGCTCACCGTCTCAACTACAGAGCTACCCTACTTTTGTGGAACACAAGCTTTTTCAACCTTGGAGCCTTTAAACTAAGCCCTATAAGAGTGGCTCCAAAGCGCCTCTGAAACCTAAATTCGGAAAACCTCAAAATGTAAACCGCATCCCTCGCAAATCGTTCAGGCCTTGGTCGTTGGCCCAAACGAGGTGGGGACGTAATGTGGGTGCCTATAGGCCTGTAGTTTAGGAGACGGCAAACGTACGATTAGGCATAAGTGGTTGCATGTCTCAACCCTACTTAGCATCCACGTTCGGAGTCCCCGCGTCCTTCATGTAGGACCATGTAGGACCCATTTACGGATGTGTGTCGGGAGGGATTTTGGTTCGGATTGAGGCCACCAGGCTCAACATGGCGTTGAAATGCAACCACCATGATAGCAAGGAGCCCTATACTTAGTAGCCGAGTGAGTACGCTTTAAACTTGTTGGGATAATACTATTCCCTGTAGTCATGTAGAACTGAAAGTGTACACTTGTCTGGGATTATGAAATCAGCAACTAAGCATAAGAAGTAGCATAATCAGCGGAGCCTATTTTTTTTAGGAATACGTAGTTTTGCACTGGCCCTGAATAGCTCATACCTACAGCCATAGGGACCTAGGGCTCCAACCCGAAAGCAAACTGCAAACCCTTAAGATCTTGATTCCTGTAGAGCCTTGCTAGGTGAACTCATAGGTCGGTGCTTCGCTGTTGGGGTTCTGCCTACTCTTCTGGGGGTTTTTGGGTTTAGGGTTTAGGGTTTATAGGGTTTAGGGTTTAGGGTTTTTCGGTTTAGGGCTTCTAATTACAAGAGGGAAGTTTGTCGGATGGGGGATTGAAATCAGCAAGCCCACACCGACCGTGATCCCTTAAACCCGGCCAGGAAGAACCCCTCCAAGCCCGACATAGCCCAGAAAGAGAAGCCCTCAGAGCCCACAAAATCCAGAACCCGAACCCTAGACCCTACTCTAAACCCTGGTAAACGGCCCTAGCTAGGCCCATGGCCCATAGCCCACAAAGAATTTTTGCAAAAGCTTGGGGCCTTTGGGTTTAGGGTTTAGGGCCCACGAAGAAGTTTAAGAAAAGATTAGGGCCTTCGGGTCAGGGTTCACACAGAATTTTCAGAAAGGATTAGGGCCTGTGGGTTTAGGGCCCACAAAGCCTGATAAGAAAAAACCTTCAGAACCCTTCCGCCCGGAAAGGTCTGGACAGTTGCCGGGACCTCCCTTGCTGGGCCCTTTGCTGCGCAGCCGGCCACGAGGTCGAAGCCAAGCGAAGGCACGTGTTTTTTTTTTTTTTTCTGGGGGGGGNNGGTTTTAGGGTTTAGGTGTTAGGTTTTTTGTTTTTTTTGGGGGGTTGCAGTTGCCTCAACCCCTAAACCTAGGGCTACGGGGTCTAGTCATCTTGCGCTCAGCGGGAGATTGCAAGACCATCAATGAGCAAGTGGCCCTTGCCCTCAATGTTGGAGTCTCTGTTGCGATTTTTATTTTTGTTGGGCTCAGCGACCATACTAGATTGCATTTCTCCGTAAATCTTGAGCCCTGCCTGAGGAGTTATTTCATGATGGCACTGACAACACAGCCGTCTCACATCTCAGCCCTCAGAGCAACCGAGAGTCCAGCACGTCTCAAGTTGGCACAGCACCGAGACCTAATCCCGAAGCCAGAAACCCTACGCCCCCCAACAATTTCAAACTGTCTTAATTTCAGAGTTTCAACCCCGCATCTTAGACCTTGAAGTACTGGAATCAAACCCGAAGGAACACTCTAAAGCATAAACCCAGCAAGGCTTATGCCACGGCATTTGCCTTCGTGGTCGCGCAGTGACTGCCTCTAGCGCCTCTCCACGGTTACAGTGGCGCCCCGACATGGATAGGCTAGAGCTCTAGGGCTTTAGGGTTCTAGGGTTTAAAGCTCTAGGGCTTTAGGGTTCTAGGGTTTAGAGCTCTAGGGCTTTAGGGTTCTAGGGTTTAGAGCTCTAGGGCTTTAGGGTTCTAGGGTTTAGGGCTCTAGGGCTTTAGGATTCAGGGATCAGGGTTCTAGGGTTTAGGATAGGCATCGAAGGGAGGGAGGTGGAGGGAGTATTGGCTATGTGGTTGTTGTGGCGTGTGGGGAGCGTAGGTGTTGCTTTGGTTTTACGAGAGGCTCCTATAAAGTTGCGTGTGTGTGTGTGTGTGTATGTGTCTATAGGTACAGATATAGACATGAAGGAGCGACAGACAAACCCATAGATTGGCAGGTTTACGGATAGACGGATCAGAGGACAGGTCGAGAGACAGACGGGTAGACAATCGATAGACAGATGGATAGACAGACATCAGATGGACAGGCCGGCAGACAGGCGGATAGATGGATAGCCAGACAGATAGATAAACGGGCTCCTGTACCGGTCTTAAAACGAGTTTATCAGGCTTCAGTTGGCGCGTCAGGACTGTAGCAATCTGAAAAAAATCAGGGCGGCACCACGGCAGTGGCAGCAATAGGAACCGGCATTTCGTGGAAGTTGTTATTGAAGAGTGCTTGGCATTGACATCTCGCAATACTGAGTGCAGTAGAGACAGAAGGCGATCATACAAGACTGATCGTCACGAACAGCGATGCTAATGATAGCAGTTACCTTATCGCAGTCACCATCATCGCCGTCATCTTTGCCATTGGTATCATCATTATCCCCCCGACAGTCCTGTACGAAACTCTAAATGTGAAATAAGGGTCTGCAGCTTAAGTCTTTGCACCCAAATCCCCGAGACTTTCCCTCCTCCAAGAACCGAGGTGGACGCTGTCTACAGCAGCGGCCAAGGCTGATTCTTGAAAGGCATTCTAAAAACCTAAATCCCTTCTCCTAAATCCCTTCTCCTGTCGGAGGGGGCAGGGAAACCAGAGCGCTCAATGTCCCTGGGCCCCCCAATATGGGGGTTGAAAACAAATTTATGATGTGTTTTCTGGGCTCCTTAATGTGTAATAATAACAAACCTTGTTCTAATTCCTCATATATTTCGCTACATGAATCTATGCGGAGTGTCCATGTATCAGACGTGGCTCGTAGTCGTTGCAGACTGATATTTACGGGGTATGTGACTATTGGGTAGTTGCGCCCTTGAGGCGATTGAAGGCTGCTTGTTATTAAACCCGTGTATCATGTCCGGAATGCCTGAGACTGATGAGTGCTTCCTACAGCTACGACTTAAGGACTTAAAGGAATATGTTCGGTGAAGAAAGCATCTTAACTTAAGCTATGATTGAAGGATCAAAGGAATGTTCCTGACTTCCGGGGATTGTGGGGGCTCTCCGATAACCGCGCAGTGAAGCTCGAGAGTTCGCAGGACCACACTTTTAGAAAGGGTGCGATCAAGGCTTCCCTTAAGGTCCACGTACCCAAATACTACATACCTTGGCCCCAAGGTACCTATATAGGGACTACTTTAAGGCTCAATATTTCTTGGGATCATATACGGTTTAGTCTTTACCAAAATATGCCTCCTTTGACCTGTATCTAATTCGTTTGTACGATAATGTACCCCAAGCCCTCTTCCAACGATCAGAGCCCCTTTGATTGGGGCTTGAGGTTTTACGATTTAGAGTTTGACGTCTCAAAGAATGTTGGGTGTGAAGCCTTGCGGACCGACTGTGGAGTTTTGGGATGAATCATAGCCTAAACCCTAAAGTTTGGGTAACTACATGGGTTCAGGGTTTTGGTTTCCTTGTCTGCCAAAGTTCGAGAGAACATCAAGGCCTGAGGCGCCAAAACCCAATGCCCTAGACTCTAGACCCAGACCGAAATATCTTGCAAGCTTGCAGCCCGGCTTTGAAGACGTGCAAGGTCAACCCTATAAACCCTCAGCTGAGGCTTCTGCAATAAGGGCCTAAACTCGGCCAGAAGCAGCCCTAAAGCTGAGCCCGCGCAGTTGTAGGAGGGCCTGGAATGAACTTGGGGGACTTGCTACGGGCCATGTGGGAGTTTCCGACAATAAGGGGTGCCCTCTTTTGGGGTCCTTATAATAAGGACCCTACGATTTAAGGTACTATATTAGGGCCCCTATTTTGGGAAACCCCCATGTTGTGCTTCTTGTGGGTGCCCTTCTAACGGTTTAGGGTTGGCCTAATGATACTGCCCGGGCCCCGAAACTTAGGGACCTCGGAGACCCAAAGAGGGTCAAGGGCTCTTGTTAGGAGATTCCGGACCCTCCCGACCCTTCTGCGGGTGCGAGACCCCCAAACCCCAAAAAACGTATTCTTACAGTCTAGCTGGAATCGGATTCTTAGGGCCCTATGTAGTAGGGCGTCCTCGGTTTGTCTGAGGACGTGGTGACGGAGTCTTCTGGGTGTGGAGGCCTCGGATAGACAGAGTTCTTCTACGGGAGCCTTAATAGTGAAAGTGAGCTCTGAGAGTTCCAGTAGTAAGGGCTTCTGGAGCATAGTGCTTTGTTGGAACATGCTTTTTGGCCGGAACGTTATAACTATGGTATAGTTATAAAGTATATAGTTAGAGGCAATGGACTGGGCACTAGAGGGGGTTTAAGAATCAGAACAGGGTGTTGGGGCACATTGTAGTTTTTGAGTGCATCGACGCAGGGAGTATTTAGGGGGAGCTGCTGAGCAACTAGACACATTCAGACCCACGTATTAATTACACCTGACCCGCGAAACCCCTGATCCTTAAGCCCGAACCCGAACACTGAAGCTCAAAGCCCTGAACCTTAAACCGTAGTATAGACCTCACGCCCCAAACCATAAACCTTAAGCCGTAACGCTTCAACAGTACATCTCAAATTCGAAAAGCGTGCAGCCCCAAACTCTTAAACCTTAAACCCTTAAACCCTAAATCCTTACAGCCCCAAACCCTAAACTCTAAACTCCTTCAGCCCTAAACCTTTAAACCCTGAATTCCCTAAGCCCATAAGCCCTTAAGCCCTAAGTGCTTAAACTGTCGTTGTAACACCGTGAGCTAACACCAGAGGAGGAGTGGCCGCCTAGATTTGAGTCTAGTGGCAAGAAGGGTAGCTTAGGGTGTTTGTTCAGGAGCGCGGGTTTGATTTTGCATATCTCGGTACTAGCTGACATTGTAAAGACAGACTCTTAACGGAATTCAAAGCGGAAGCGTCGTCACACCGTGCCGGGCACCTGCTACGGACATCGTCTACGGACCCTATTGAACTTCCTTGGGATCCTCAAATTCCATCTCATGTTCTGACATATGTGTCCAGGGCTTCAGATTGTAGGGTTGTTGGGTGGGCAGCATAAGCCCTCTCTGAGCCACCTGCAATCAGCTGAGACTGAGACAGTTGTTAGGGTGGAGGGCCATTTCTGCAGGTGACGATTTGGGGTATGAGGGGTGTCTTCTTCGCTTTCTATTGCGCACCTCTAGCCCTGAAACTGTAGGGTCTTCAATGCCATTGACTTTGGCTGTCAATGACGAAATTATGAGCATGAAGGATTGGTATCTTTACGCCTGAGTACTTCAAGCCCCCAGTGTCTGTAGGCGTCAGTCCTCTAGAACCTAGTATGAATCTGTATCCCCTTGGAGAAGTGGATTCCGATGCTGTATGGCCTGGGCTTTTACGGTTATATAAGCCCTATGACCATAAGCCCCGCTGCGGCTTAGGGCTTAGGGTTCAGGGGAAATGCATATGAAGCTTGAAACCTATAGCCGACGCGGCGAAGCCACTGTAAGACTCCCCAACTGCCTACCCTATGGACATCTATGGACCCTAAGAGCGAACAGCCTAAACTCCATAATTACCCCCCTGAACCATAAATCCAGCCCTCTGCAAGCTGGGCAACCCCGGACACCCCCAGCCACACCCTTGAAAACATCACCAAAGATCCCCAAGCTGCACGACACACGCTCTCCCTAAACGTGGTTCCATGTATTCTACATGTTTGGCAGAATCCTAAACCCCCCCCCCACGTCCCGAAAACCGTCAGGCGCGAAAGCCTAAAGCCGCAACCCCATAATTTGACCTTTTGGAACCCCAACAAAAATTGGTTCCCAAAGCCCTTACAAACAAGTTAAAACCCAGACTTCCGGATCCCACAGCCCCACATGGGAGGTGTGCTGGCTTTGGCAGGTCATGGCGATCTTTGCACTTTGGCAGCTTCGTCCAGGGTTCGACTTCGAAGCTCCGGTTCCACATAAGCCCCAAGCCCGAGACGGAAGAACAAGAGCGCAAAAGCACCTAGAAAAGAAGTTTAAAAGCCTAAACCCTCTAAGTTTATAAGCCTTGAACCCCAAATCCCCGAAAAACCGTCATCCCTAAAGCCTTAGTAAGGTGCAGCCTGGGTTAGTAAGGTGCAGCCCGGGGCATGCTAGGATGACGACGCTGTATGGGGAAACGGAGAAAGATTGGGATCTTAGGGGTGAAATTCGACTAGGGGCCCGAATAATTGCCTATACTCTTTTGGGGGTTCCTTATTCTGATTATAATTAAGTATAGTGGGCTCCAAAACCCAATCCAAAAAATTAAGGCTCCTAGATAATATTGTGATTAAAAAGGCGCCGATATTACAGGAAGCTGGGACCCGACCATATAGGTACGGGGCAGAATCCACGAGCGCAATGTCCTGTTTTGCGCAGCAGCCTTAGACAGTCTCGGTCTGCAAAACCCTGGGCTAACCTGGCTACAGCACCGCCCACCAGGTGGACTTTAGCAATTAGCAACCCTAAACCCCTAAACCCTAAACCCTAATGGCATTAAGCCCCCGGGCTTCATTGCCTCAGCGAAAAGATGGTGGCCGCCGCTTGCACTCTGCAAGGGCCCCCTGGGATCTTCCAGCGGCTGGGCACTCCGCAGTAAGGTGGAAAATGCCAGCGGCTTGCGCTCGTGCTGACCACCGGCCCTAATCGGAATCATCCTAGAGCCTCTAGACTTTTAAACCCTGGATCCCACAACCCTAAACCCTAAGCCACTAAACCCTGAGCCCTAAACCCTAAACCCCTAAACGCCTAAACTGAGCCCCTATAGACTCACAGAAACTGTGTACATCGTACAAAACTCTCTGTGGAACGAGCCCTAGAATGACCGTCCCGGCTTAGGCGCCTCGCTTCATGCCTACCTTTGCGTGGTTCTCTGGCAGGGTGCGCTTCAGCAAGAGGCCAGCGTCTTGGGTTATAGGGCGTGTATCGGGTTTATAGAAGGTTTGAGGCGTTTATGGCTCTATACCTCTAGTCCCCATTGTAGCTCCTTTTTTTGGTTAATTAACCAACTTTATGGCTAGGATCCCATACTATTGATTTGCTTCACCCCAAAAAGGAACTACAATGCAGACTTATAGAGGTAGGGTTTCTTACAGACTGCGCGACTTTGTAACGTAAGGGGCTCCGCATCTTGCACTTTTCGCCCTTCGAGAGTCTGGTCGATCAATGCCATCTGGAATTTTGAAATCCCGAAGTGAGAACCTTAAGGACCAAATGCCACTTAGAAACAGGGGCTCTATACCCTTATACTCTGAAACCCTATATGATATATGAACCTTACATGCTTTTAGGGGTCTTTGCGTCCTTAACGAACTATCTCCCATCGACAATCCCAGTATTTAAGCGCAGAGTTGCTCATTCTGACATGTCGCGGAACTCTGCCTGTTCGGAACATTTGTGTACTGAAGCATGGTGCCTGCTCTGTGTTTGCTTGCCCGTCCGTTTCATGTCGGGTTACCCTAAAGCAGCAAAGCTGTTAATTAGGCTGTGCCGAGCATAAGAGTCGAAACCCTGAACTATGTTCCCAATCAGAATCAGCAAGGGTTCGCTTGATGAAGACCGGGCCTCCGTTGACGGCTGCAATCCTTGATGTTTTTGCAAAGCTGGTGGAACCCCTCCCCCCCCCCCCCCCATGTACGCACAGCCAGTCTTTAAATGGGTGTACCCTAAACCTTACACCTGACAACCTGACTTTGCCCGCTTCTTTTGAGGATGCAAGGGTTGAAGTTGAACGTCCGCTGCATCTTACAGGACTGAGGCAGCATGCAGCCCCAAGCCCTCGCCGCGAAATCCACTCTCTGAAGGCGTAGATAAGATAACACCCAAAATTGTGATATGATAGAAAGCAATATACTAAAAACGATTACCGTATAGCATCCATTAGGTCCTGAGTTGTTGGCATGCATCTCAAGCCCTCTCTCCAAACCCTCTACCCAGAGCCCTGCACCTTCAATGAATCGTGACACCCTTCTGTGCCCTACACCCTTCTGTACCCTACAGCCTAAACCCTAATCCCTGAACCCTGAACCCCTAAAGTAGACTTTTCAGGCTTTGAGGTTTGGAGTTTCTGGCTGCTTGTCGGCTTCAGGGCTCTGGGATTGGGATGTAGGGGTTACCACCAGGGTGTAGGGCAGCGCGGCTTAGTTTGGGCTTTGCATGCTATGGCCTGAGATTGATTCACTATATGGAGGCGGTTTAGACTGTTTACGGCCAAGTTTGGGGTAGTTTGAGCTTTGGCGGCTTATTTGTCACAGCGTAGAATAACAACAGACAATCCATAGTCTCTAAGAGTGTTATTATGAAGTCTTGGTGCAGACTGCAGGTGATGATACAGAAGAAGCTTGCTCCTGTGTTTAGTTTAGTCTGCAGTACCTTTATCCCGCATAGCTTGTGATGGACTCAAAGCACAACTGTATATCTCAGTGATGAAGACTACTGTAATTCCAAGAGCACTACTATTGCTATGCCCGTTGCAAGTTCTACACGCTCCTCTCCTGAGTGCCCATGTTTCTAAGATCTCTACCCTACACCCTAAACCAGCCTAAACCCCAGCAGGTGATAGAGCCTTATCAACCTGAGCGCCCCAAACCCTCGAACCTCAAACCAATACAAGCGCCTTTAATGCAAGTGGCTAGTTAGACAATAACAATAGAGATGCTGATAGTTATAACTGTGGCCCAAGAGACCTTCCATTTCAAGGAACTACAATAAGAAACCATGTTAATGAACCCTTAACGGATAGGTCTTATCGGCCACGGGAAACGACCTACTTTTTCAATGAACTACAATAAGAAACCATATTAATGAACCCTTAAAGGATAGGTCTTATCGGCTACAGGTTTATAGTCTTAAACAAACCTGAACCCTAAATCCTACCATAACAGGTGATGAAGATCTCTCTCCCCGGGCTGGGTCACGCTCTGGCCCTGGCTAGCGACGTCGTCGCCGTGGCCAGTGCTCCAGGCCAGCAAAGAACTCTCTGGGTTTAGGGGTTTAGGGTTTAGTAATCGGGCTGTTTCAAGGGGGTCCTTGCTATTTGTTTCTGTCTGAACAGAAGTGCTCGCATTGTGCCCTGTACCTTCATGGCTCGAGCCTGAAATGCGTTGGGAGAGAGAGAGTTTAAGGCTCTAGGGGTTTAGGGATAGGTTGCGGAGCTTTAATGGGCCAACGGTGGGTGTAGGGCTTGAAGGATCGCACTATAGGAATAATTCCGAGACCCAAGACCACTACCATAAGCCGGCAAATGTCGACACAAGCGGCATCAATCTCGTAACTCGCACGTGGGATGTCGTGGGGCACCGCGAGATCTGAATACCACCATGACGGAATATACTTCACAGAGTACAGGACATTTAATAATGATTTCAGATGCTCCTCGATTGAGGGTATGGGCTCTTTGGGGATTCGGAGGCTTCGCTCTTCTTTACTACTTGTGTTTCTGGCGAACTCAAGACCCGTTGTCTATGTCAGGTTGGATCTTTCAGGGACTACTTTTCTGCAGGAATGGTCAACAGACTGTAAGGACGCTGACCACCCTAGCATCCCAGTCCTGCGCCACCTCAGGTGGAATCACTGCAGTCAGGGGAAGCCCATCCGTGCCATTGAATCAACTTGCAAGCCGCAAATGAGTGTGAGTTACATACTACATTTACTACATGAACTTGTTGACCATTGGGTCTGATTTCTTCTTATAGCATCCTCTTTCAGGAGGCTTGAGATGGACTATGAGTCTCTACATAACCTTAAAACCCCCAATAAACCCCGGAGGCTACTGGATAGTCCTTGAACTGCCTTGGGAACTGGCTATGCGCTGATCAAGGGCTCGCCCCAATGCACTCAGACTTGTGGCGTCTGTGGCTTAGGGATCCTGGGCTCAACCCGAAGCCTTCCCAACACCCAAAGCCTTCCCTTGCCAGTCGTGCCTGCTCCTGGCCGTGGCAAAGCAGGAGCGAACTCGCTGTGGCACGTCTGCAGACTGGTTACCGAGGTAGCTGCCAACTACCCCAACGTGTAAGACCTATCTAAACACCTGCGAATGAGGTGGATGAGCCTTCAACCCTAAACCCTCAAAGCCCTAAGCCCTATAAACCCGGGTGAGGCAGAGGCTCCTGGCTTTGGGATGTAAGAGTTCAGGTGCTTGGGCTTGCCTCAGGGGCTTAGGATTAGGCTGAGGGTTCGAGCACAAGGATTGTATAGTATACTGACGGACTCTAATCCCGAACCCACGGGCCTTGTGCTTCAGGGTGTTTGGGTTTAGGTTCCCCTGGTGCTGTGTCCTTGCCAAAGATTTCTGGAGCATTTTGTCCGGACCTCATGCTTCGGGTTTCGCGGCTTTTACTTTAGAGGCCATGGGTTCATGGGAGGTTTACTGTTTAGGGCTTCTGGGCTAAAGGGGATTGAATATATATATATATATATACACATATACATATACATATCTGTCTATATATATATATATATGTGTCTTCTTCTTTCTCTGCGACATGAGGGCAGTATGATATCGAAGGCCTGGGCCTTGTCTGGAGAGCATGCAAGCGCCAAGCATCCAGCCATTTTGAGCTCAATCTGATCAGCGGATGTATGGATCTTCAAGCACAATCACCCGGCTGAGCCAAGAGGTGTCACAATCAAGCACGACAAGTCCAAGTTTTCAGGACCGGCGCATACGGCATCCCAAATCACAAAGCCTTATTTTATGCATATGTGCTATATCGTCGCGTATGCTGAAAACCACACGACATCGTCAGCAGCCCCGCAATCCACCCACAGACCTTGTGCAGACGTTCGCGAGTAGACAAAAACTCGAGCAGCACGGGAAGCCCGAAGAGCCATGCGGGGGACGGCGCCGAGCTCGTTCTCATCACAGACGCAGTTCAGTAGGAAAGCTTTCGCCTGGGGCAACCCAGATGCCCAGCAGAAGCAAGAAGCCAAGAATGGCCAAGGAGGCCAAGAGGAAAGCCAGAACCGGACCTACGAGATCCTCGCGAAGACGGGAACGGTTAAGGCCGAGCCGCACATGGATGCGAAGCTGAAGACCAAGAAGTCCAAAGGAAGCAGGTTTCTCGTCTCTGAGATGACGATGAATGGCTGGTTGAAGCTTGAAAACGAGCCGGGCTGGTTAGCAGCTCACCTCCGAGGCGTGCAGGACATTGGAGAGGTTGCAGCGCCGCTTGAGACCGAGCCGATGCTGGAGCTGGCAGTGCCGGCCTCTTGGTAGCTGAGGTTGTAAGTTTTGCCTTCTTGTGTCTAGTCACTAGTTGCACCTGCAGCCCCAAAACCTAGCAAAATAACGGTCGATGACTCGATGACCCCCATAACTACAAGGTGAAGCCCTCAAAGTAGTTTTTTAATATTCTGGCCAGGTCTACCAGCCGCAGGGCATGGTGTGCCTTGAAGTGGTCTTCAAGACCGGTGTCCCGGTCAGGGAGGCACCAAACCGAAGGGCAAAGACCGTGGCAACGCTCAAGTGCGGTGAGTTTGTCTTCGCCCATACTCAGAACTTTGATGGTTGGCTAAAGCTCTCCGGCAAGCCCGCAGCTCGTCTGTTGGCATCCTGTGTTCTTGTGGGTAAATGTCGGGGCTTGAGTACTCTGCAATGCTATTCCTTAGGCTTCCTCAGTATGCCTCTGCGATACCTATTCTCAATATAGTCGCATCGTGGCCCCCTTTTTTTTCCTTGCGGATCTGCGTACCCATGCAGTATACTCTGTATTCACACAGTATCTCTAGAGGAGCTAAGTTGAATGTACGTAATGCCCACGTAACGATGCATAGACTTTCTAGGTACATGGATCCCTAGCCTTGTCTTATCCAACTGGCCCCGATTAGATCACCGCCATTTACACCTCCTATCTGAGGAGGGCTGGGTGCTGGCGAACGACTCCGACTGGGGCGAGCTCCTCCGGCGCCGAAGGCGCGACACATACCCCGAGCCCTTAAATACCACTAAGCCCGCCTGAAGCCCTATAGCTGCAAGTATCGACGTGGAAGTGCCTCTTTCTAGCAATGTCGCCCATCGTGTCCCCGGATTCTACTACCTTAAAAACCCCCTCCCCCACCTCAGAGCCCTGTGCCTGTATCAAAGCCTCTACATTCAACAGGATGTTTCACAGGTATTAGCTTCATCAATTATAGAAGCCACAATAATTACCAATATCATTCCTTAGGGTTCCTTGTTATAGTTGTATACGAGAATTTCTCTCCTCGTGCGCGTGCAGGCGCATGAACGACATCGACCTATGGGCTCTTTGCGATGCCTGGGCGGCTGCCACTTCCCAGCATTAAAGCTTTTGGGGTTTGCGGCTTAGCTCTAAATCTTCGGGTTCCATCAGCCCCTATAAGCTTCAGTGTTTAGCTGTTTAGCTTTTTTTTGCTGGTTTGGAGTCTTGGCAGCGTGTTTTGGGGTTTGGGGATCTGCAGGTCGTTGCAGGTTTGAGAGTTTTCGAAAATTGTCGGGGGGAGGGGGGGGGTGAGGCTGTTAGGGTTCAGGGGCTCATGGGGTGAGTTGTGCATATACTGCCGGTCGAGCACTCCGGCTTCAGAAGATGACATCAGTTTAAGACCCGTATCCACCTAAGAAGCTTCAAAGAGACCGTTCTGAGGTCCTATACAATCTAGAAATTCAGGGTTTAGTGGACAGGAGCGCTTTCATTCTCCCAATTGTTGGTAACAGGCGATGTCTGTATTCTCTTGGTTTCTTGGGGGGGGGGGGGGGGGG